GTTATTTACATGTTATGGAAATTTAGAACTTTGAAAAGGAGGCTGTTCTGTTTTTTTAATAACTAAATAGATGTATAATCCAAATATCTCGTACTGGGTGGCCAAACTGCTGGCAAACATTTATAGGAACACTATAGAAGCGAAAATAATTAATAGGGCACGTCAATCCTTGCCCTAAGAGTATGGATGGTTTTGGCATAATAAACGACCTCTGCGCAAAGTTATAGGAATTTCCAAACTTGTTTCCTATTCATTGTGTGGCTTTTTAAGTATCTCTTCTAATGATTTGCAACATTACGTTTATTAATTATCCTGTACTCTCTCATTACAATCTTTAAAAAGAAAGCCAAACAAATAATAGACAGAATTCTTATGAATCAAAACAAGAGCTTTGAAACGATAGCTTAACTACACAGTTCAACAAATAATAGACAGAATTCTTATGAATCAAAACAAGAGCTTTGAAACGATAGCTTAACTACACAGTTCAGTGACTCGTGTTTAGCGGAAAAAGATAAACGGAACAGGTTTTAGCCCTGTATGAAAATCAACTGTAAAAGCGTAAATTTATTCACCAAAAAACAGCACTTTGATTCCCGCAGTTTATAGTTAGTGTATTATTTAACTGGATGTTCCGCATTTCTTCAGTCAAAAGCAAAATGTGCTGGTTGATCATTGTTTGGTGTATTCTTTTATATTCTTTTATGGCTCATTTGTTTGCCGTAAATCCTCTTTTATTATCTTTCAAGTTTTAAGAGTTCTTTTTTTGACTTAATTTTCCATACAAAAGATTCGAAACAGCTTTTTAAGCGCTACTTGAGGTATAGCCTCGGCATATACCGTTATAATTCCAAAATTCTAAAATAAAACTCTTAATCTTAAGTGCGATTGAACTTAAACTTTGCCTGGATCACCGTCCTACACACTGCTCCTGGTTGAACATCAATGAAATTCTTTAAAATGGAATCGGTAAGGGATAAGCAGTAGTTTAAATGAAGAAAGGTCTTGTCTTTAGAATTACAAGACAAGAATCCATGTTATTGGGAGAGAAACTTCTGAAGAAATTCTAGGAAAAGAGAATGAAAAGGAGATTTCACATCATTAGAGCTATAAGCATTGCAAAAACGTTATTTTCAGTTTTTAACGAAAATTTATGCAAATATATATATACATTAGTCCCGTAACATATGACTATACAGAGAAAATTATTCCCATC